GCACAGGGTCTGTTTGGGATAGTGCCACCCCATCCAAGACCAAAGATGGCAATTCTCACTGAGCCAATGAACCCCAAATCCAGAGCCACTCGGTCTTGCAAGAGTTTAGTTTCAACCCGTTGCTCCCCATCCCCATTATGGACCATTAGAGGCCATTCCAGGGGTTAAGGCACCCAGTGTCAGGCCTGTCCCAGCTTGGATGCTCAGGAAAGAAAGACCCTCGACTCCATTTGTAGGGAAAGGTATAACTTTGACTGAAGCCAAGTGATTACAGCATAGCAAAGCCAGATCTGAATATACCTACGTAAACCCATTGCTTTTTTCCTTCTCCTGCCTCTCTCCATCCCCCTTGGTACTTTTGTAAATGTCCAATGGGGTTCAAACTAGGTGTTTTGGTAACAGCCCTAAAGTTTGGCACCTCTTTGGTGGGTGTCATGCCCCCAGATATAATTTGTGTACATACAGCAATGGTGGGGTTCCAATTTTTTTACTACCGGTTCTGTGGGCGTGGCTTGGTGGGCGTGGCAGGGGAAGGTTACTGTAAAATCTCCAGTCGGGTGGAATTTGCCGGTTCTCTGAATGATTCAACCGGTTCTCCAGAACTGGTCAGAACCTGCTGAATATGAATCAAAACCTCTGATATATATAGTACTGTTGTTCTCTGGCCCCATCTTGTAGCTGGGGCCAAATACTTATCAGTATTGTTTGAAAGCCAACTAGCCCTTTAAGGGTCATCTACCCATAAACCTTCACTCCCCAAACAAGTGCATCCTGGGAAGCCAGACTCCATTACCTTTAGCATTCGGAAGGAAACTGAAGCCCCAGGAAGAATCCAGCCTAATCTGTGGCCCATGCTCATCTGAGGACAAAGATCCGCTTCCCATACATACAGCATCGCTGATGAGATTTAGATTTATCTGTATTTGTTAAATTGTTATGCTCACCAGCAACTCAATACTGCTTATTTTGTTTTGTTTTTTTAAGTTGTGTTTTTATTTATATATAAACATTTTGAATAGAGTGTATTGTCCAGGCATGCCATTTTACAAAAGAAAAGAAAAAAATAATAACATATATACTGATAACAATAGCAGTAGTACAACAGAATAATTCTAACCATATTTATCATTATGTTAGCTTATTTATAATCCTGTTGATATTAGCATACAGTTGTAAACAACGTTCACGTTTAATTTATACGTAACTGCTCTTTCTTCATCTAATTTCTACCTCTGATCTCTAACCAGTGATAAAACCTATTCCACGTTAAGTAATACTCTGTATCTCCTTTATCTTTTATTTTCAATGTTAATCTATCCATCTCTGCATAATCCAGTATTTTCCAAATTATATTTTTATCTGATGGGGTGTTCTCATTTTTCCAATATTGTGCAAATACAATTCTCGCTGCAATACTGTGTATTTGGGTTCTTCCTGTATGTATTTCTATTTTTCCCAGTTTTACCATCTTTTTCCTTTAATAAAGCATCCAGATCTACGCACAGGATAGGTGGCTTTAGCTGCATGTCAAGCTGCCCAGAGAGTAACTTGTAGTGAGGACAGAACAGTGAGCATACGCATTCTGTTCTCACACTTGGGTCCTTGGATCTGCCAGGCTCTTTTCCGGGCTGGCACCTTTGGTCCCCGTCATCCCTCCTCCCTCTATCCCCTTACTCTGCCCCTGCTCTTTATATCAGGATGCCATGGAAGCGAAGCAGGGCTGAAGGGAAGCAACTAGACACTGGGAGGCAGTGAGTTCTAGTCCTGCCTTAGGTAAGAAACACGGCTGGTGATCTCAGGCAAGCCACTCTCAGTCCAAACTACTCACAGGGTTGTTGTTGTGGGAAAAATAGGAGGAAGGAGTATTATGTTCACAACCCTGAGTTATTTATAAAAAATAAAACAGGTGGGATAAATGGATCTTCCAATGTGCCATCGTGGCTACTTTGCCATGCTTTTTTGCCTGTGATCAACCTGTGCTATTTTCTTGCAGCAACTAACCAGCTGGTCCACTGTTTCCTCAGCTTTTCAGAGGCAGCATTTGTTCTCTGTTGCTTTCTGAGATCAGAAGTCAGATAACACTGGGAAGAACGGCAATATTTGGCATGAATAACATCTGGAAGAGTAACGACATCTATCTCACAACCAAATGCTAAGATTAGTTAATTCAGATTAGTTTTTCAAATTGCTACTTACGGCTCCATATCATACACTGTATCATGTCATGCCGGGAGTGATCAGCAGAAAAAGGAGAACAGGTCACGTTAGTACCCGCTGGCTGGACACTATAAAGGAGGACACTGGGGTGACCATGGCGGATCTGAAGGAGACATTGCAAGACAGAGAGGCCTAGAGAGTGCTGATCCATTGAGTGACCAAGGGTCAGACATGGCCCAAGGATGCTGCCCTCTCAATATTGGCTCCATATGCCTTTGTTCTTAAGGTTTGCTCATGTGCAGGCAGAATTACCTTCTAACAGAGTTGAAAGGGACCTTGGAAGTCTTCTAGTGCCCAACCCCTTGCTCAAGCAGGAGACCCTATCCCATTCCAGACAAGTGACTGTCCAGTCAGAAGAACTGGAAGGGACCTTGGAGGTCTTCTAGTCCAGCCCATGCTCAAACAGGAGAACCTACACCATTTTAGATAAATGACTGTCTTGTCTTAAAAACTTCCAGTGATGAAGCACCCACTTTTTTTTTCTTTTTTTGTAAAGAAACGGTAAAGTTTTATTAGAAAGGGCAAAATGACATCAAAAACCATCACATACATACACAGCTTCTGATGGCAAACTGTTCCATTGGTCCTCCCAATGTTTGGAAGTTTCTCCTTAATTCCAGGTTGTTTCTCTCCTGGATTAGTTTCCATCCATTGCTTCCTCTAGCCCTCTGGTGCGTTGGAGAATAATTTGACCCCCACTCTTCTTTGTAGCAGCCCCTCAAATACTGGAATACTGCTATCATGTCCTCCCCCCCTAATTCTTCTTTTCTCTAGACTGGCCAAACCCAAATCCTGCAGCCATTCCTCATATGTTTTAGTCTCCAAGCCTTGGATCATCTTAGTTGTTCTTCTCTGAACTTTTTCTACTCTTTCCAATGTCTCAACATCTTTTTTGTAGTGAGGTGACCAAAACTGGATGCAGCATTCCAGGTGTGGCCTTATTAGGGTTATGTGATTTTGATTCTGCCTCTGTTTATACAACCCAAGGATTGTATTAGCCTTTTTGGCTGCTGCCGCACACGGCTGGCTCAGATTCAAGTGATCCTCCTAGGACTCCAAGGTCCCTCTCGCAGTTATTGTTTTTGAGCGGAGTCTTGCCTAATCTGTACTAATACCATTAATTTTTTCCTGCCTAAATGTAAAACTTTGCTTTTCTCCACATTATAATTCATTTTGTTGGATAGGGCCCACTGTTCAAGGGTGAACTAGTTCCTCTGGCGCTTTTATTTCTTATGATTAAAACAGGCCTCCTGCCAAAACCTCCAGCGACTCCAGGCAGTTGCAACAGGTCGGGGGGGGGGGGTCCTTTAGGTCAGGGGTCTCCAACCTTGGCCACTTTAATTTATTTATTTATTTTTATTTGTTTGATTTGCCAATTGTTTACAAGATAATAAGTATAAATGTATACATAGTTGTGAATACATGAAATGGTTACATATAAGAAAAATAAAAGAATAAGAGAAACAATAGGACAGGGACGGTAGGCACGTTGGTGCGCTTATGCACGCCCCCTACAGACCTCTTAGGAAAGGGGTGAGGTCAATAGTAGACAGTCTAAGGTTAAAGTTTTTGGGGTTTGGGGAAGAAACTACAGAGTCGGGTAGAGTATTCCAGACATTGACCACTCTATTGCTGAAGTCGTATTTCCTGCAATCAAGTTTGGTGCGGTTTACTTTGAGTTTGTATCTATTGTGTGCTCTTGTGTTGTTATGGTTGAAGCTGAAGTATTCATTGACAGGTAGGACATTGCAATGTATGATTTTGTATACCATGCTTAAGTCAGACCGAAGACGGCGTAATTCAAGGTTTTCTAGTTCTAGAATTTCAAGTCTGGTGGCATAAGGTATTCTACAGCGAGTAGAGGAGTGGAGAACTCTTCTTGTGAAATATTTCTGGACTTTCTCAATTGTGCTAATATCAGATACGTAGTGTGGGTTCCAGACTGATGAACTGTATTCGAGTATTGGTCTAGCAAATGTTTTGTATGCTCTGGTTAGTAGTGTGATATTACCAGAGAAAAAGCTACGTAGGATTAGGTTAACAACTCTTAATGCCTTTTTGGCTATGTAGTTGAAGTGTGCTCTAGCACTTAGATCATTAGAGGTGAGTATTCCAAGGTCCTTTACAGAGCTTGGGTCATCAACAAGATCTTGACTATTCAGCTTGTATTTTATTTTCTGATTTTTTTTGCCAATATGTAAGACAGAGCATTTATTTGTTGAGATTTGAAGTTGCCATTTGTTTGACCATTCGGATACATAGTCAAGATCTTTTTGTAGGGTAGCAGTATTGTCTGTGGTATTGAACAGCTTTACATCATCAGCGAAGAGAACGCAATTGCTCTTAATATGATCACAGAGGTCATTTATGTAGAGTATGAAGAGAGTTGGTCCTAGAACACTGCCTTGGGGAACACTCCCAGAATTCCCAGCCAGCAAAGCTTGTTTAAGGTTGGAGACTTCTGCTTTTTAGGTCGCTGCTGCCATCGAGCCCAGAACCTGGGGGCCCACCTTGGTGTATCACGTGATGTCAGCCCGACGCCATGACGACCACGACGTGGGGGGGGGAAACGTCCCCCCCTCCTTCCCTTGCAGGGGTTCCTAAACCAGGGAGATCAAAGGCGTCGCGTGCTCAGGTCACCTGACTCCCTTTCCCGCGTCCACGTGACGCCGCTCCCTTCCGCTTTGCTCCAGGGCGGCGTGTAGAGCGTAGCAACCGTCGCGCGGACGGCGGGGAGGGGAGGCGCGTGGCCAGGAGGGAGGGGCGTGGCCGAGCCGGCGGCCGAGGCGCTGGGCAGGGAAGGAGGGAGAAGTCCGGCGGCGGCGGCGGCGGCGGCGGCGGGCGCGGGATGGGCCGCGGCTGAGGTACGGCGGGCTCGGGCTGGCCTGAGGGAGCGAGACCCCCCCCCGAAGACTCTTCCTTCCCTCGGCCGTGGGTCGGCGGGAAGGAGGGTGGGGCGGGGTCCTGCCCTGTGGGACAAGGGAGCCTCTTGGGGGGCCCTGGGGGGCTTCTTCAGTCTGACCGGCTGTCGGGGGGGGGCTTGTCTGGAAGACCCCCCCACCCCACCCCGCTTTGGCAGAAGGAGCCGGATTGCGGGGGGGTCCCGGGGACGAGAGGGAGAAGCGCGCCCCTCCTCCCTCCCTCTCAGGGGAGGGGGCTGCCGCTCCCAGGACCCCCGTGCGGGCTGCGGAGTCTGGGCCCTGCAGTCCACCCGCCTCAAAGTGGCCGGGCCCGTTTCTTCTCTCTGCGGGCTCGGCGCCTCCTGGGCCGGGGACCTTCCGCTTCCCGGGGGCCAAATTGCGGCTGGTGGGTGGGGGGTTCCCGAGGCCTTCGCGGTGAGAAGCCCCCCCCCCCCCGTTTCCAGGGGAAGAAAGGAAGCCCCTCCCGCCTTGCCCGAGGCTGCTTCTTCGCTCCTGCCCTTTGCCCCGGGATCCTTCGGGCGCTCCGGGTCCGGCTCTGCCCGAGGCTGCGTTTCCCTCCCTTCCGTTTCCCACAACGGTTCCTTGTCTCTCCCTGCAGACTCCCTGGATGCAGCAATGTGTGAGGAAAGTGCTTTGAAATAAAAGAAGTATTTAAAAAGCATTTCTAAAGCAGGCCTTTAATTGAGGAGGCCCCGATCTGCATTCGGGGCCCTGGAAGACGGAGGAAACCTCTTTTCCCCCCTTTCTTTATGCTGGCATGAAGGGAAACTTTGAAGGCGCTTTTAACTTCTGTTTTTGGATGAAATGTTGCATCATATTTGAGGCTGAACCCTGCTCTGCAGAAAAACAGGGCGTTGGTGGCTATTAAAGTTAATTAGAGGAGAATCTTTTTGATTTTAAGGAAATTTCTGGATTATATTACCTGTCGCAAAACAATTTGGTAGCTAGGCTGTATTTCTTTAAACATGGTACCAGTATATAAGCACTAATGTAACTAAGTCTACAACTGTATGCTCAGCTGCCTTTTTTCTGGGGGGGGGGGTGTTTCTGTATTTTAATTGGAGAAATCTTTTAACTGTCTCTTATGTTCTTATCTGCTGCCTTGCTTTATTCTCATTTCTTGATGTTCTTTGAATTCAGTCATTTTCCTTTCTATGATTTTGCTAAGAAGCCAAGCTTGACATGTTAAGCACTGTTAACTGCTTAACAGGGTTCTTTTCCAGAAAAGTTTTAAAAAGTTATCCAGGTAGAAGAGAAATTCTCAGGGTGGCTCTGATTGAATTTAAGGTGGCTGAGGAATTCTGGGAACTGAAGGCTAAGTTGCTAAAGTTGAGAAACCCTGAACTTGGGTATCTCCTCCAATAGCCCCACTCAATGGACAAGGCAATTTTTCCTTTGATTCCACCCTCTCCGTTTCTTGGATGGGTGGCCTGTTTCCATTGAATGCCACCTCTGAATCCAGGTCAAATCAGTTCAGACTGGCAGACTGCTACCCATTCTCTGATCAATCTCTCCGGGGAAGCTTTTGGCCTAAAATCGCCCAGGTCTCGCCCAGCTAAAGGAGAGGAGAGGTCTCCAAAGACCGTCCCTAACCTCCGCCATTTGAGAGGACCGAACTCATTGCTTCTCAAAGTTAGACCCGCAAGTTTTTCAAAAGTTCTTCTGAATGCCTCGGACGTCCAATAAAATCCAGAAATGTCTCATGATTGAACTCAATCAAAAAAAAAAAGAACCTGCACCTCATCGCCAAGTCCCTGGTTTTACGGCTCCTCTCTCATCCTGAATTATGCTGAAATAAAGGATTCCGAGGCTGGCGTTGGTTAATTGGTTAATGACAGGTGCTCTTTCAGACGCTCAGTGAGAGAGAGAGAGAGAAAAGGAGGTGTTGCTGAAGTTCTCAGACTCCCCCCAACTGTTAGCAGCGCCACCCGTGAACTGTGGCAGGATTGCCTCGGGTCATGTGCAGAGTGCGTTCGCCGTTCAACTCCCCCTCCACGACTCAAGGTTCATACTAAAATTAGGCCTTTCCAACCAGCCCCTGCAAATATTCGGCCCTCACCAGAGCAATAGAAAGGAAGATTTAACTTCTCCCTGGCCCTCCTTCGCTCCAGCTCCCTTCCACCCTCCTGTGCCGCGGCAGCGACCCTTTCACACTCACCCTGCTTCCCCGCCGTATTACCATGAGGACCGCTCCCGCATCTCCTCTCGGGAGCCTGCCCGATCTCCCTTCTAAGGGTAGCCGAGCTCTGCTGCCTCCTCTTCCCTCCCGGCGGGCCCCTCTGCTCCCCAAACCAGTGGCGGCAGCAGGTAAAGGGAGGTCGGCTGCCCTGGGACTTTGGCAGGTTGCCTGGAAAAGGTCTGGCCTGAGGAGGGGAGGGCGGTGGTGGGAACCCCGCAGATACTGAGACCTTCCCTCACCAGAAGGGCTTGGCTGATCCGATGCAGGGACGAGGGCTAGCAGGGGTGATGTTTGTGTGTGTGTGTGTGTGAGAGAGAGAGAGAGAGAGAAACTCAGCTTGCTTCCCTTCTGCTAAGAAAAGTTTGCAGCCGCTCTCCCATGCGCACTCCCCTCGCCAGGAAGCCGTTTCTATCGGCCTTTTGGGAGCTTCCATCAGCCGATAGAAACAGCCTCGAGGAGAGTGCGCGTGCGGGCAGCCACACCTCACCCCAAAGCGGCTGGTGACTCTGCCTTTGGGGAGCTTCCATTGGCTGATAGAAACAGCTTCGTGGGGAGGTGAGTGTGCGTGGGGCACTCTAGGTGGAGGTACACGTGGGGGAAGAAATTAAGTCACCCCCGAAAAGACGTCCTAGCCATTTTTTCGGGGCTCAAAAAAATAAATAAGACCCAGCCTTATTTTATGAGAAACACGGTACATTCAGCAAACCTCTTGCTCTGAAAAACTGTTTTGTCTAATTCTGTTTGTGCAACAATAATACCAAACACACAGCCAAGTGCTCAAAGAGCAGATGGCAGCTGATCTCAGGAGGGCTTTTGCACAACACAGTTGGGCCCACTCCTAAATTGGGAAGTCATTCAAAAAAAAAATATTCATGCCCCAGCAGCATGGGGTGTGTATGATGGGCACACGACCATACCCACATGTGCCACCACTGCTCTGCAACCTGCAATGGTTACCTATTGGCTTCTGGGTGCAATCCAAGGTATTGGTTACCACCTATGAAGCCCTTCCCAGCACAGGACCTGGTTATTGAAGGGGCCGTTTATTTCCTATGGTTTCTGCTTGCCCAGTAGAATTAGGTAGAGCGGGCCTGAATGGACCAGGAGGTCCATTCAAATGATCTCATCTCTTGGGACCCAAGACGTCGGCTTTCTCCATTGCCAGACTTGTCCTTTGGTACTGCAGGCCCCCCGAGATCCGGACCACTTTCCCCTAATATCAGGCAGGACGCCTGGCTTTATTCCCAGGCCTGGAATGAAGGGGCCTATTTGTTTGTTTTTATTTCTTTAAAAGTTTTACATGGCCACCCATTTTAAGCAATCCCGGGCAGTATATAACAACAATAAAACCAATTACTATAAAACAACAGTAAAATTGCAGAAGATTAGATTAGAATTAGAATTAGAAGTTTATTGTCATTGTACAAGTACAACAAAACTGTGGATGCACCCCAGCAACTGTTCGCAATACAATAAAAACAAAGCACTTAAAAATGAAGATAAGAAAAATAGAGTACCCGCATCTCCATTTGCAATTTGAGAGTACAATATCTACAAATATACACAAAATATACATCCAACACTGACTGTAACGCTTAGCCTAGTATAATACACAAGAGATGGATTGTACTGTAATATGTTGTTGTACATCTGAATGAGGTATTGAGATTTCACATCTTAATAAGGTAGTGACTTCGTGTTTATTTGCGGTTCGGATGGCCCAGGGAAAGAAACTATTTGTTAGTCTAGTGGTGTGGGATTTTATTGACCTAAAACAACGTCCAGACGGCAGCAGATCAAAAAGATAATTGTCAGGGTGTGAGGGGTCTTCTATGATGGCCTTGATTCTGCTTTGGCAGGGGGACCCGGCTAAGTCTTCCGGGGGGGCAGAGGGCAACCAATGATCTTTTGAGCTGTGTTTATCACCCTCTGTACAGTTTTCCTGTCCTCAGCTGTGGAGCCTGCATACCACACACCCAGACAGTATGTCAGAGTGCTCTCCACAGAGGCTTTAAAGAAAGCCAGCAACAGCTTCTTATCCAGGTTGTTCTTCCTGAGAACCCGCAGGAAGTGCAGCCCCTGCTGAGCCTTCTTCACTGCGGCCTTGGTATTAGGGGACCAGGAGATATCAGCTGAAATATGGATGCCAAGGAATCTGATCATAGGGACAGTTTCCACTCGTTCTCCGTTGATGATGAGTGGGGCGTGGTCCTGTCCATGTTTCCTGACGTCCATAATCAGTTCTTTGGTTTTATGGACATTCAGTGACAGATTGTTCTGTGAACACCAGATAGACAGGTTCTCTACTTCTGCCCTATATGCCATCTCATCCTCTCCAGAGATGAGACCAATCACGGTCGTGTCGTCCGCAAACTTTATGATGGTGTTTGTTGCATGGCTTGGTGAGCAGTCAAAGGTGTACAAGGCATATAGCAGGGGGCTCAAGACACAACCCTGGGGGGAACCAGTACTGAGTGTAATAGTGGAAGAAAGGTGGGGGCCAAGTCTAACAGACGGTGGTCTGTCTGTCAAAAAGTTTTTAATCCAGGAGCACGTGGGGGGTGGGGACCTGCAGATTATACAGATGAGATCTTGTTATAAAGTAAGTTGAATATGATTCTAGGATGACAGCAAAGCAGGAAGTAAAGCAGGGGATCTTTGCTGGAACATTATTTGTGTAGGTCTAAACTGAAGACATCTGGATTTTCTTGGAAGCCAGGGAGTCAGAAGTCTGGTGTGGTCTTTGCTTAATGACCTGTGCGGTCCTCTCTTCATAACGGCCACAGCGACTGCGGTCACTAAGTGGCGTGGTCATATGGCATCAGAGCTTATGACCACATCTCTGAATGCCTGTCCCAATTAGTTTCCTTTAAGTGAGAGCTCCCTGCACAGCCACCTTTTGTCTCAGAGCTCAAGATGTCCCAGGCAGCTCTCTCTCCCTCTGCTTCTCCTCCTCCTCCTAGGAAGAAGAATCCTTCTTGGCTGGGTCAAAAGAGAGTTCTGAGCAGGGCCAGTGCAGCCTGTTCGCCCTAGCACCTCGCTCTCGTTCTTGGAATATAACCTGTGCAAACCGCATCCAGCCATGGTGCATTTTAGCTGAATTTCCCCCCCTTCCCAGTTAGGTTTATTTACATGGAAACATCCTTTGTTAAAGCTTCATTTGCACCTGCTACTTAACTGCCACCTAAAATTCTAAATCTTTAATTGCTTTTAAAATGCGTTTAAATTTTTTGAGAGTCATTATTATGCAATAACAGATGCTTTTGTACTCAGTAAACCCTAAACCGCAGGTGAAGGGGAAATGCTTAAGAAACCTCGTCTTTGTGGTTAACTCTGAAAAATTAAGGTTGAAAGACACAGACTATTTAGATCATTATTGAGAGAGCAATCCAGAATAGCAATCACTTTTTTCCCTGCTATAATGTCTGTTCTGTGGGAGAGTTTGGGGTATAGTACTAATACCCAAGATAATTTTAGAAGCCAGCCGTAGATTAGTAGGAAACTTGATTCCAGCCATTTTATAATGGACTCTGTACTATTAAATATCAAGGTAATATTCATTCCTTATTTACTGAATCGGAACCCTGTTTGGGGGTTTGGAGAGAACACCTCTTGATGCTCCTGCCCACTTTTTATGATAGCAAAAGGAAAGTTGGGGTATCTTTGTCTGCTTCCTAAGGGAGAGGTATTGAAAGTGTGCCCTAATATCACATTCACATTTAGTTAGGGATTTGGTTTTATTCAATCCAGATTGTGACTTCCAATGTGTTGGTTCCTAAGGTGAATTATACCCAGACACACCCAGACAGGTATGTACCTCAAGCAGGCGCTATGCTATATAGGATCCTTAATTATTTGGTTGATCAATAAGCATGGAGTTGCCTTCACTTCTGCAGATTACAGGGAAGCTAACTAAGCAAAAGGTAGATAAAAATCTTTGCACATTCTGGATGATCGAGTACTGTCACTTTGAGAATTAATGTAAACAAGGGTTTAGTCATATGGAGTAATTGCATCTTCCACATTTGTTATTTGGGTCACTCCTCTTAAGGGTTTCCACAAAGCAGTGAAAATAAACTTGTCAGCCTTGTATTTATTCCTGTTGCTGCTTTTGAGCAACTCGGGTTACTTCTCATTAGCATTTGTAATGCTTTGCTTTTGGAAATAGATGGTGCAGTTTACACTCCCCTTGCCACACCCTTTGCTTTGCTTATTTATACATTCATTTCATTTCTGCCTCTTTCTGTGCTCCGAGCAGCTCAAGGCAATGAATGCCTCATTTTCTTTTCATTTTCCAATAGCCCTATGAATCAAGCTGGGCAAAGAATTGATGTCTGACCTAATAGCTGGTCTCCGTTTTTCCTGGAGGTTTTCTTGTAGGTGTTCTGTCATTTCCATGTAAATGGGGCATCTGATTTGTGCCTCTGTTTGATTTGTGCTATTACCTTTTTCTTTCTAATTTTCAGGAATGTAAAAGGATAAAAGAATGGATCCATCACCAAGGGCCAGATCAATTGTTGTTCATGTGGAGGGAATGACATGCAGTTCTTGCGTGCAGACAATTGAGCAGCATATTGGGAAGCTAAATGGAATTCATGTCATTAAAGTAAGTAATTTTGCTTTTATTACAGATCAGAGGCTAGATGGGACGCAGTAGTGGAGGAGTGCTTTTCCACACAGCAGAATAATCTTGACAGGTTTTAGATTCAGTATTCTTAAGAGGGGGGGATGGGAGAGGACGTGCAATTCAGAGAGCCTGAATTTGGTTATCTTCCATATAATTGGCACTAAATCAATCCATGATACTATAGCCAAAGGCGGAAGAAAGAAACTGCAATATTTTAAAATGGTTACATTTGTGCAATTAGATTGCACGGGGGCTTCCAGGTTGTGTTTTGCCTATGGCAAATGGGAAATTTGCTGTTAATTCAATGGGCTTGCCAGTAATATCCATTTGCCCTTTTAGAAATTGAAGCAGCGGGATATGTTGACGGTCTGCTGAAAAACAAATCAGGTTTTAGACATTATGAGAAAGTTTCTGACATTAGTAAATCTGTGAGGGGTAAAAGTTCAGAGAAGAAGTTCCTCCTGTGTGTTGTAATCTTGGCATCTCAGCAGAATTCTGACTTTTTTGCCAAAGAATCGGAGCCCAAGTTCCTTTTACAAAAGTAAAGAGGCTAAGACGAGTAGAAGAAACTCTCGGGAAAAGCGTATCAGTTTCAATCCCAGCCAGGCACCCGGGAGAGGGAGAGGCTCTCTTTACTGCAGCTTGGATGGAGAAATCACTGGTGGGACAGGAGCCTTGGGGTGCTAAATAGAAATTTTTGGTCTGCTGGGATTTATAGATTCATAGTCTAAATTTAGATTGGGAAAGCCTGGATCCTGTCCTACTTCCCCCATTGGAACCTGGCCTAGAGCTTGCATGTGTGCCTTGGCATGTGTTTATTCCCTTACAATATCCACGGCACATAAAATAACATTCTTTTAAGTTTCTAAAATAGCTGCAATATTCTGAAATTACCAAATGTCGCCAGATGCGAGAGTTTGGGTGAGAATGCCAACGTGTTCTGAGATTTGCCAAGAGATTGAGGTCCTTTCAAAAACATTTTGCCCCGCCTTCCTGGGACACCTGTGGTCCCCCCACTACAATTTGGGAACTGTTGTTCTCTGCTTAAGATTCACACTGTCAAAGTCTCTTTCGGTATGGGTGATGGAAGAAAAGCAGAGTAATAATAAGGTTGTTTTGGGAGGAGTCCTGCAAGGGAAGCTACGCAGGGCTTTCATAATCCACCTTCCTGGCCCAGTTTCTTTTGTCCTTGGACCCATCCTGAGCTTTCCACCTGAGGGGAACCTTCACCCGGCTGCCCCAGATTCCAGAATAATAAGTCAAGCTATTTAGGATAGCTCCTTTAGTTTCTCCTGTGGACTTGATCTTCGTTTCCCTTTCCCGTCTTTGCATGTACAGTATACTTCTGACTTGCCATTCCATCCTGACAGCTTTTAGTTCTTTATTTCTGGTGTGTTTGTCACTTTTTATTAAAATATTAGCATACTTAATATTAAACTTGTCATTACCATACTAACATTAAACCACATGGCAGTTTGTGTCAGGCATGGAAGACCAGGTCCACACGTGAAGGTCCAATTAAACTCAGGCCCAGGGATATTCTCAACTAAGTTAGCTGCCCCTGTTTGGAGCAGAAAACGGTCAACAAAATTCAAGGGGGGTGGGGGTGGTTGGACTTAGTCCACTTGTGGCTATGTCGAGATTCCTGGCTCTCTCTCTTTCACTCCATCCCCAGGTTATACCACTCCATCCCTTAAAAATTGCTTTCCTTTTTTTTTCAATGTGTATGAAATTTCAGTGCCCATTTTCCTAGTTAAATACCCACCAGTATTATGCCACAGAATACTTCTAAAAATGGAGGAGGGGGTTGCTCTGTTCATCCCAACCTATGGCCCTATACACAGCCCACCACAAGTCATTATAGCATTAAATGTAACGTCATGTTCCATATCAGCCAGCTATTTAACTTTCTGGGCATGACAGTTGAAGATTAGGATAATCTTAATCTTGATTACTGTACTGTATATAGATTGTAATGTATACTTAAGGCGCTGTAGAAAGTTCATGTGAGAAGTGTATCCTGTGTTATTGTGTGAGAGATTTCTGAAATTGTTTTGCTGCTTTTATTGTGGCTCACCCGGTAGCTAGTCGTCTTGTTTTACAAATAAATCCGAGTTAATTTATGGTTTCATAGGTACCGCCTTACACTTCCTCCTTCTCAGGGGAGTGAAATTGCCATTCAGGGTGTCAGTGTAATAAGCCAAAGCTGCTTGACATGTTAATGCCAGTTTAAGGCCATCTTAATCTCACTTGGCTCAGTCGCCTTTTCTCTTTGTCTGCAAGGTTTCTTTGGACGAGAAGAGCGCCACCATTGTTTACGACCCCAAAGAGCAAATCCCGGAGTTGCTCCAGGAAGCCATCGAAGACATGGGGTTTGATACGGTTCTTGGCGACACCAAACCACAGTCCGTTCCACATGACACCACTTTTCTTACAATTCCCACCCAGGCAACTCCAACCTGTGAACAGATTCGTACCGACCTCCTAAAAGTCAAAGGCATTCTGGACGTGAAAATCTCTTCTGACAAAACAACTCTAGTTGTAACCTTTATCTCCTCTATTCTAACTAGCAAACAGGTTAATGAAATAGTACCAGGATTAAATTTGGACAATGCATTACAAGATAAAAATCAAGGAACATGTGAAGATGTAAGTTTAAACCAAATAAATGACGTGGTGCTAAGACTGAAAATAGAGGGGATGACCTGCCATTCCTGTACGAGCACCATTGAAGGAAAAATTGGCAAATTGCAAGGGATCAAGCGGATTAAAGGTAATGAAAAATAGAGCCCTTTTGCAGCTTTTGTCCTTTTAAACCATTTTCATCAATTCTCCAATATAACCTGAATAGGACAATTTAACTTCCAAGGGGTACAAAATGTGGATGACAATTCTTTTTATGGAGAAATTCACCATTCATAAAGCTACAGTAGGTAACATCCAACCTTTTGTATTCTCAAACAGAACCGAGAAACAGAACTTACGCTGAGACCATACAAATTTGAAATAATTTCCCCCCCTCATTTTAGTAAGTCACCGGGACTAGCAAGAACGAAGGGGATGGCAGCCTTTATGGCATGATGTAACTGCTCCAGACCCTAGCACTTCCACTTCAAAAGCTAAGTTCCACCACCTCTTTGCTCTGTGATTCGTTTCTGTTGCCTGCTGTCACAGCAGTGATATAGTCTGCAAGATCCTCCAGACTCTTCTAGCCAAACAAAAGGATGCTTTCCAGGTAAAGCTGTGCAAAACGCTCCATTACTGAATACTCTTAACTCCCAAATTGCCTGTGTCAAGTACTCTGGAAGTTACCTGTTTGAAAGGCCTTTCAGAACACTCACGGATACTTCTGGACTGCTGGGAAGTATCAGCATGCAAACAGCTGCCTTTAGGTGGTCCAGGCCCAAACTGCAATCAAGCTTTTTCAGCCGTGTTCAGAATGAAACAGCTGTTGTGCTTTTTTCCAGGCATGGAATGAACAAGTGTAGCAAAAGCCCCAAAGACATTCATTCTCAACTCTAACAACTTTAAGATGTGAGGACTTCAACTCCAGAATTCCCCAGCTAGCCATTCTGGCTGGGAAATTCTGTGAATTGAAATCCCCACATCTTAAAGTTGCCAGGGTTAAGAAGCACTGCCCAAGGATACCGGTGATGACTATGGAGGGAGAGGAGGAGCAGAAAAGCAGTGGGAAAAGCCAATGCCTGGCTGGTGGGTGGGATGTGACACGCTGAGAGCTGCTGAGGGGGGGAGGAACAGACTGCACTCCCCCCCCCCCCTCATGGTGGGCACGCCTCCACTCAGGACCACCCACTCCCAGAAAGCAGCAGCCTCTGAGCTAGGCATTGAGCCCCTCCTGATTTCCAGCTCCTCCAGTTAACCAGACTATTCACCTACAGGAAGCCTCTTCACGGATAAATATTTCACGGACTAGCAAGAGGGAACCGCACCAACCCTTTTTCACTTATCTTCCAGTTTCCCTGGATAACCAGGAAGCCATGGTCACTTACCAGCCTCACCTCATCACATCAGAAGAAATAAGGAAGCAAATAGAAGCAGCGGGATTCATCGCCTCCGAAAAGAAAATGCCGAAACCGCTGCAGCTGGGCTCCATTGACATCGAGCGGCTGAAGAGCAGCCACACCGGGCGCTCGGAAGGGCCCCCGCCAGAGAGTCTGGGAGGCAAGCCAGAGGGGAAGACCGTCGCCTTCCACGTGGATGGCATGCACTGCAACTCGTGTGTCTTCAACATCCAGAGCAGCCTCTTGGCGCTGCCTTCGGTGAGCAGCATCACGGTGTCGTTGCAAGAGAAGTCGGCTGTCATCCAGTATAACCCCAGCCTCATCAGCCTCGGGGCGCTCAGGAGAGCGATTGAGGCCGTCTCCCCGGGGACTTTCAAGGCCTGCGTTTTGGACGCGCATGAAAAGGCCGAGCGCCTGAGCAACTCCAGATCTCCCCCGAAGCCGCCTCTCCCCGTAGCTGTCCACAGCATCGGGCCCCATCCCCTCACGCTGGTGACCGTCATCCGCATCGAAGGGATGACTTGCCACTCGTGCGTGCAGTCGATCGAGGGGCTCATTTCACAGAAACCGGGCGTGAAGTCGGTCTGTGTGTCGTTGCGGGACCGTAATGGGACTATTGAATATGACCCAACTCTGACCTCTCCGGCCGATTTAAAGGACTCAATTGAAGACATGGGCTTTGACGCAGCCGTAGCTGGTAAGTTATTCCTTAGATTTCAGGGAGGCTTGAGAACTCCAGCCATTTCTTTAGGTTCTTGGAGGGGCCGTTTTATGCGGGATAATGTGGTCATTTCCCTAACGGGACTGGTTTCAAAGGGAGGGGGGCTTGCAATGTAGGCACATGAGTTATGCTTCAAGGCGAGCAGTAGACTGAAGGAGGCGGTGGGCAAACAAGCAAGTGGAGAGGCGATGGCTGCTCCCCTCCAATCCTGCGCTTTCAGGTCGGTCAGTCCACCCAGAAGCTCATCCAGCCAATGGCAGGATTATTCCAGGAAGGATTGGTAACCAGTGTGCCTACTGTAAATACATTCGTGCTTTTTGCTTTTTTGTTTTGTTTTGTGGGGATTGGGGGATTTCAGGTGGTTTTCACAACTTTTGTAACGATCCCCCTGCAGGAGTAATCCTGCTCTGCTAGAGAGGGTTCCTGCCACATAGTGTTGCACTGACCGCGTCCAATTCATGTCACCTGCATTTTCCTTAAAATGAATTTAAAGATCAACCTTACACGTTACAACTTTGTGACTAGCAAGTGGCTGTTTCTTTCCCTTTTGAGCAGCCGGTGTGTCATCTCAGTCCACTGTAGGGAATTCACTCTTGGTGCCATTAAGGGAGGCCGGATGGGAAAGGCGCAAGGATAGGGACCTTCCGATTGCCCTCTCCAGTTGTCCAGAGAATGACTTGCGTCCCCGTGACTTGCTCTGTTCTGCATGCCCTGCCTTATGACTAGACGTGGTGAAGTGGGATTGGTAACCTCCTTGCAGCTGTCTTAGAGCACCTGGTCATACTAGATTTTTTGTGGGGGGAGGGGAATGCAGAAAGTCTCCATATTTCAGTATCTTTTGAGAAAATGAAAACAAAAGGAATGTGGCAGCAAGTCCAGTTTCCTTGCTGTTTGCACTTTCCTTTTGCACCCTGACAAAACCTAACATTCCCAGGCAACATATTCCTCCAGAGCTTTTTTTCATTCTGCAATCCATGCTTAAGACAGTAGCCGGGGGGCCCTGGGCAGAGATGGGCATCTTTTGAAGCTCATGGGGGCACATTTGGAGTTTGGAGACATTCTTGAGACAAATCAGTGTGGGGTTGCAAAAAATCATCATCATCATCATGCACTCAGACTAGTGAGCCCCCAATTTAATGCCGCCTGTGCAAGGGAACCTTCCCGGCTGATTTTTCTCTAGTCTAGTTGCTCTCTCTCAGCCTAGCCTACCTGACTGGGTTGGTGCTATGGGAGAAAATTGCAGGAAGGGGACCTGTGGGAGAGGCCTTGAGTGTCTGGAGGAAAGACAGCGACGCATCTAACCGATCAATATAAAGGAGTCTTTCACAACATGATGACATGATAGGCTGGCCAGTTTCAAGGTTGCCCGGGTCTTTCTTTCCTAATCCTGCAGGGTGTCTGTTTATGGAGTACCCAGGCACACTTCTGGAAAAAGAGGAGGAGCATATCCTTCCCCATTATTTGTGTCCATTACTGTATTAAAATGGGGGCGCAACGGCTCAGTGGTTAGTCGCTGAGCTTGCCTCCTGCAGAGCTGACACTCTGTGTAACGGGGCGAGCTCCCGTTACTTGCCCCGGCTCCTGCCCACCTAGCAGCTTGAAAGCATGCAAATGCGAGTAGATTAATGGGTACCACTTGGGTGGGAAGATAACAGCGTTCTGTGTTCCTTGGCTTATAGTCATGCTGGCCAGATGACCATGGCAATGTTTTTGGACAAGGCCGGCTCCCTGGGCTAGGAAACTGAGATGAGCATCACCCCTAGGGCTGGACTTGACTGGACAAGGGAAATTCTTTACTTTTATCCACTGTGCTAGTTTTACTTTTTAATTAAAAGAAAAATTCTTTAAAAACTAAGGTCAGGTGGGGCAGGGAGCTTAAGCACCCAGAAAGATCCGCATATCTACTCCTGTCATGAGAATGCAGTTGGTTGAAGAGCTGGGACCTTGTTTGCTGATGATAATTTTCTGCTTCCAGTGCCGCCAAGCCCAGAGCCCATAGTGCTAATCAGGGAGCCTTCCCAGGAGAGGCTGGCTAAAACTCAAGAGAGCAAGCTGCCCAAAACAGTCGCTCACCCCAGCCTGTCGCCGGTTCCGAACAGACCAGGTTTGAAGACGCCGTCCAAATGCTACATTCAGATCACTGGTATGACCTGCGCTTCCTGTGTGGCCAACATTGAGAGGAACCTGAAGAGAGAAGATGGTAAGGAACCCTTCCATGAGCCTGACTAACATTTGCTGCCCCAGAATTTATGGCTGACGTTGACCAGATTCTCAGGTAAAGGCAGAAGGAGAGCTATTCTGATTGGGACTCCTGCTTAGGGTTGAGGCGGGGGCCCATGTGGGACAAGGAGAGGGAGTGTCCTGTCTCCCCCCTTGCAGGTGTTAACATTTGGTCTTTGGGTGGTGGATCTTGCCTGTTCCACTTGGACCGTAAGTCACCCTTTTCCCCTGAAGGTTGTCACTGATGCAGGCTAGCAATAGCCCTTGGACTTATAGGCCGCTTCCCAGGGTTTCCCGGCCCTCTCTATGCGGTTTACAGAGTCAGCCTCTTGCCCCCAATCATCTGGGTCCTCAGGATGCTCTAAACCAGGGGTGTCAAACTCACGTCGTCACGTGACGTATCAGGACCTGTCCCCCCCCCCCCCCCCCCCCCCGCGTCACGGCCCCCCCCCCCCCCCCCCCCCCTTCGCTAAACCGGGCCTGGGCGTGGCCAGCATGTGATGCATCCAGCCTGCGGGCCGGGAATTTGGCAGCCCTGTTCTAAACAGAGTTCAGAACTTTTACTATGCTAAGAGTTTTTTCAAATTTCATTTTCCACATTTGTGGGGAATAAAAGGAATCACTTGTAAAAGGAGTCCCACAAATCAAGGTTTTGGGCAGCAGCAGCGCCACAGCTCTGGGCCTGGGCCAAGAGATGTCCTAAGAAAATCAGTTTTATTCTGACGAAAATAGCAGCGTGGTGTGTTTATTCAGGACACTTGATTGTACAGCATACTGATTGTTTCCCTCCCTAAATGTTGCTAAGTGTGCTTCCCTCTTTCTAGGAATATGCTCTGTGCTTGTTGCCCTGATGGCTGGGAAGGCTGAAGTGAGATACGACCCTTCCGTCATCCAGCCCCCGACGGTAGCCGAGAGGATTAGAGAGCTGGGGTTTGGTGCTCTGGTGCTGGAGGATTACGATGAAGGCAACGGCATCTTGGAGCTGGTTGTAAGCAGATGGTTTCACTCTCAACACATATGCATCTGGCAGGTTTTTTTTTTATACCACGTATGAAAAGGATGGAAGCAGTTGGGTACCTGCAGTCTATCAGGGCTTCTGAAAAACGTGGAAGTCCTGTTGTTGTTCTATCTAAGTGAGACCCTATTGAAGTGGCAGGACCAGCCCTGTTACTCCACCTTCCCCTCTTGCTCCTCTTTAGGGGAACTTGGCCTGTCTTGGTGGACGTGTCCTTGAATGTAGGGACCATTGCCCTCAAAATTATAACTGAAAACCATTTCATTTTGCTGTCGTATCTATTTTTGCCTGTGTATCAAAAAGTTTGGGCATCTTTCTGTTACTCTTTCCAAGTTTCTAGTTCTAGTGGGATATTTATTTTCCCTTTCCTCAAACAGAAGTGTGCTTCTGTATATTTTCATTTGTTTGCTTTTTTCTCAGTTTTTCCCCTGTTGGTCAGGAAGGCAAAGAATACACTTTGCAGGATAGGGCTATGTGAAGGCTGGGAAACATAACTGCTAACTGAATGGGCAGGTGTTGAAATGCAGAGCAAGCAGCAGGCTTTCCCAACTCCCCTAGAGAGGAGGGTAGTTTGTCCTTTGGTGGACAGTTAAAATTCTTAATCATATCTATTTATTTCTCTTGTTTCTATTCTGCAGGGGTAGCAGGAGTGATTGTTTGTTTTGCTTGCTTCCCAACTTTATTACTTTTGCAAACAATTCAAGATAGTAGCATATCCAGCATACTTTTTCCTCCTATTGTCCCCCCAACAACAACCCCTCTGGGAGGTGAGTTAGACTGAGAGCGAGTGACTGGCACCCCGATGGCTTTCATGGCTAAGACAGGACTAGAACTTACGGTCACCTGGTTTCTAATCTGGTGCCTTAACCACAAAACCAACTGTGGCTCTATTTACCAGTTTGAATAGCAGAACAAGTACAGAAGAATAACAAAAGCAAAGATAAGCTAGCATAAATCTTGAGCTAGGGTTAGGGGTTTTTTTAGGGAATTTATCCCCTTTCATCATGTTATTCTCCAATTCATTGTTTATCACGCAGGCAAAATTATCCTTTAAGAAACAATATTCTGCAAACCATTTTTTTCTCTCTTCACAGGTCAGAGGGATGACTTGTGCCTCGTGTGTTCATAAAATAGAATCTACCCTTATGAAAACAAAAGGGGTTTTGTATAGCTCAGTGGCCCTGGCAACCAACAAAGCCCACGTTAAGTACGACCCGGAGATCATTGGCCCTCGGGATATTATACAGATTATACAGGTAAGTATTTTTGCCAGTACAGTTTCTGTGAGCTTGCTATTTTTCGTTTTGTTTTATTATTTTCTAGATTTATTTTTTTCCACAAATGTCATTTTAACTAAGTAGAGGAAACTCTGTGAAAGAAGAGGCTGAATATGGACGCTGATTTGAAGTTGGAATTTTCTGATCCCACTATGTGGATATAACAAAATGCCAAACTTAAGACTGAAACTTAGGTTCTCTGTTTGGTTTATGTTCTTATTCTCCCACCCCCCACCTCTCTACCCCTTATATTTTCTTACTTCTTATATCTGTTGGTTTAGGCTCTAAGCTGTTGTCAGTGTTAATTTATCCTTGTTAATTTGTATCATTCAGTCTAAAGCAACAAGTTTTTGGACAATGGTTGTTGTTAAAAAAATATGCAGAAATGTCTAAACTTATAAAACATCTCTGAAAAAGAGTCAGTTTCCCTTTGTTGGTAGTAAATGTCTTACTGGTTTTTAGATAAGATCTGTGTGGAAATGTGCATATTCACATTATGTCTCTTTCCAGAATCTAGGATTTAATGCTACATTGGTAAAGAAAGACCGATCTGCTAGCCACTTAGACCACAAGCAGGAAATAAGACAGTGAGTCCTTTTTTGTGTTTATTTGTACCTTTGCAGTATTTCCTGGAACGTGGTCGTCCGTCCCCCCCCAATAACTATATACTGTCTTTCAAAGCTTTACCTAACTTAAGTTATGATGGTTTATTCAATATTATCTCGTCCGCTTATTATTTAGGTGGAAACAGTCCTTCCTCGTGAGCCTCATTTTCTGCATCCCTGTAATGGGGCTCATGATCTACATGATGGTGATGGAGAGTCACATGTCGGCCATGCAGGAGGCTTCTAACTGGACTCTAGAAGAAATAGAAATAGAAGTTCACCACCCATCCATGTTTCTGGAGCAGCAGATTCTTCCCGGACTGTCTGTGATGAATTTGCTCTCCTTTTTATTGTGTGTTCCTGTTCAGGCAAGTAGAAAGAGGTGGCCTGAGTCACTCAGATGGCAGAACATAAGCATCACGCCCCACTTCCCTTTAGGGTTAGGGCTAAGGATTAATTGCGGTGCTTAATCGGGAAACACTGACTCAGTCTCTTTGGGAGAGTAAAATGTAGAGTGTACCTCTTTAGTGCTTAGGTAAAGCATGTGAATTGTATAGATTGTCACCAGAAAGTGCCAAGGGTCCAGTAGGCATCTTCCTTTAACAGTTGACTCCACTCTTTCGCTGCTCCCATCAAAAGACTAACCTCGAGGTTCATCTATTGAAATAGTTTTCCTTTTCTGTCCCTTTGGAAGAAAGCCAAGAGTAATATTTTTATCTTGGCATTTCGAGCACCTCTGTCAACTTTTTTGTTATTCTCAGTATCATTTTCCCTGGACATACAGACTTTGCTTCCAGGTGAAAAACCTCTAGCACTACTAAACAAAATGCATTTCACAATTATTCTGACTTTTCTTCCTGAACCGAACATTTGGTGGTGGGGGAGGGGGAGGGAAAGGAAAGGAAAGGAAAGGATGGAAGAGGCAAAGGAGAAGGTGGAAAATAAGGGCGGCCCTGTTAGACTTTGCCAGTGAGGCAGAGCAGCCGCAAAGAAAGAGGTTCCCCTGGAAGTCCCTAGCTGCTCTGCTGGATGCCCCCTGGGAAGCTGCTGCCTTGCCTGTCAAGTCCAGGGTGGATGGGAGGGGGTGCCTCCTTGAGATGCCCATGCGAAGGGGGGAGTTTTCTCTTGAAATGCGACAATGAGCAACCGTTTCTATGTTTTAGTATTACTTACCCTGCTGACCTTTGCCCTTCTTACAGTTCTTCGGAGGCTGGCACTTCTACATTCAAGCCTACAAAGCCCTGAAGCACAAAGCAGCCAATATGGACGTGCTGATTGTCCTGGCCACGACCATCGCCTTTGTCTACTCCTTTGTGGTTCTTCTGGTTGCAATGGCTGAGCAGGCAGTGGCCAATCCGGTGACTTTCTTTGACACACCGCCGATGCTCTTTGTGTTCATCTCGTTGGGCCGCTGGTTGGAGCACGTGGCCAAGGTCAGGGCAGAAGGGCTCTTCCTCCGGTTCGAGGGGAAACCTGGGTGGAGGGAAACCATGCTTTCAAATTACCTGCCATGTTCTCTGCTTACCTGGGTCTAACTACAGTTTGGGTGTTATTAATAAACGTGCTTCAATTGAAGACATAAAACAATAATATAGTACTACACACACACACACACACCAATGATAAACATCACAACGCTGGCTGCCTCCCTCTCCTGCACCCCTTCTGCCTTCTTGAAGAAGGCCTGGAAGAGAGCTCAGTGGCATTTGTGTGCATTCAAGCGACTCACAACTGGTCTCCCATCAAGCTGGAAGGGAAGGGAAACTAGGGAGCAGCAGGGAGGCGAAGGATCAGTCCATTGCACCGGCTGCCGTCTTCTAAAAACTTTAGCCCTCAAATTTGCTCAAGCTGCAGGCCTGGAGGTTAATTAAAGTTTTTTTAATCTACCAGTGACTGGCATTACAAACTGTTAATAAGCAAATGTATTTCAAACAGATGTCACACACACCCAAAAACCAATGCCAAATGAAAGGAAAGATTATGCTTTCCTTGGAACTTCGATTTTCTCTTTCCTTGCTAGCTTGTGAGGAAAGTCTCTTGCTTAAGGACTTCTTGCTTAGCCTGTGATGTTGATGCTTGCAATGCATTTCTATGGTGCTTTGAATGTAAAACACTTTTTAATCCTTTTTAGGGGAAAACATCAGAGGCCCTTGCGAAGCTAATTTCACTACAAGCAACAGAAGCAACCATTGTTACTTTAGGTCCAGATAATATTCTCATGAGGTATTTCCAGTTCTGTGGTGGCTTTTTAATGAAATATTTATATGCTACAGTGCTTCGTCCCCTGTAATTTTCTTGTAGTCTTTATTTGTGTATTGCACCACTGCAGGTAACATTCTGCCTGTGCAGTTCAATGTAAAAATGTAAACGAGGCAAGAGTAGCAGCTTGACATGAATTTGCATACAAACTCCCCAAAATATAATTTCAGCTGGGGATTTCTTTACATTACTCTAGCCTCCTGCAGATGAAGAAGGCTTTGAACAGGAATTTAAAAGAAAAGAGCATTCTGTTGTGCAGGATTTAATAATCTGAAATGCTACATAAGTGTCAGCTCACGACAGCCGAAAGATGCAAAGCAAAAGGAGAAAATCTTGAAGGCTGTCAATAAGCTTCTGTCGCTGAGTCTTGAATGTTCTGGCTTCTCTGCAGCGAAGAACAAGTGGATGTCGAACTAGTTCAGCGGGGTGACGTTGTGAAGGTGGTCCCAGGCGGCAAGTTCCCCGTGGATGGCCGAGTGATTGAAGGACACTCGATGGTAGACGAATCGCTCATCACAGGCAAGCCGGGATGGGTTTTCCATGGGCCCTAGGCTCCGGGCTGCGGGGAAGAAGTTGTCAAAGAGTGGCCTCCCTTTTGTTTCTGATCTGTGTAGGTGAAGCAATGCCCGTGACCAAAAAACCTGGAAGTTCAGTCATAGCTGGTTCAATAAATCAGAATGGATCCCTGTTGATCTCAGCAACCCATGTTGGGTCTGACACTACCCTCTGCCAGATCGTAAAGCTTGTGGAAGAAGCTCAGACATCAAAGGTATTTAGGCTACAAAACATGCTGTATAGTGCAGTGTTGGTGTGGTGTCGGCGGTTTCCGGTTCAATGTGTGGAGGGTGAAGGATGTGTGCTTGTGTTTATTTTCATGGTCATGGTCAAGATGTGCACTGAAGATGGTGTTTGATTTCGTTGTACGAGGTGCAGTGACAATAAAGTAAACCAATAATAACCAATAATAACTAATAACTAACACGTTTAGGTTGCTCTCCTGTTCGGTAGCCGTGATTCAAGAAAGCAAATTGGTAGCTTAAAGTTAGCTGCAGTATATGGTTATGTAATATGCCGAACTGGCCTATCCAGTGAGATTTCAGCAAAATTCTCTGTCTCCTTGGGTTTGTTTGTTTGTTTGTTTGTTTTTTGGGGGGGGCTGCCAATAATTATAGCACCAGTAAATACGCTTCTCGCTAAAAATCGTGTATATTATTTATTTACAAAGGCTGAAACCAAAAACCAGCTCAGCCTCAAAAAAGACTTCTAGAATTAATGTTGCTTCTTTTTCTCTCCTTCACTTGCTTTAGGCACCAATTCAGCAGTTTGCTGACAAACTGAGTGGCTATTTTGTTCCTTTCATTGTTGGTGTTTCTGTGATTACACTTCTTGCTTGGATTGTGATTGGCTTTGTCAATTTTGAAGTGGTGGAAACCTATTTTCTTGTAAGTCTCTTTCCTTTCCTTTTTAATTTTTGTAAAGAAATGACCTGCAAAATCTAATTAACCAAAAGGTTTGCTTTCTTAACTATAGTTCATATTCCCTATATTATGTAAGATAGATTAATTTGAATTTAAATAGCAAAAAGAATAAGAAATATGATTCAGATGCATTGCTTGACATAGTGATGTTTTTAAAAGGTTGCTTTGCCTGCATTACTTACATTTACATTTTTGCTGATTTTTGCCTAATATTTAAACGTGATTTATGATTATCTTCTAAATACTAATAATCCCTGATAAAGACCCCTCAAGATGTGACTGGAAGGCACCAGCTTAAAAGGAGTCAAGAAGATAAACGATCTGTGCTTGCCCAAAGGGACTCTGGTTCTATAGGTCTCTCAGAGTGGGGAAAGGGCCATTTGGAGCATCAGGGGATCACCTGCTTCGTGAAGAATAAATTGTGTAGAGAGGCGATGAAAGTTCACACTTCCTGTAATATTTTGTAATGCTGGATCACAACATTTTAGTTGTATTCATGGTGGTTAGTGATATGCTTATCATTGTACCCTCCTTTATGTTACAGCAAGAGGTTGAAATGTATTCCTTGAGTGTTTGTCTTTGCTGGCAATTGGTGTCTGACTCTAGCTGGACGTTTTAGCGGCCGTTCATAGGGTCAGGTGCTCCCAGGCCACATTGGTCCTCATAGGCCTTTGCTGTAGGGGAGGTGGCAGAGTCCTCTGCCCCATCTTCTACCAGACAAAATCAAGGCAGAGTTATTTTGAATTTGTTTTGCCACGCTTTCCTCTTTCTGTGTTGATGTTACTTCTCCCTATATTGTTTGATAACCTTCTACCCCCTTCCCGTGGTGAGAACTGCACTCTTTCACACATAATACAGCTAATGTATAAAATCAAGATGACTAGATTCACACTTTACACAATTCTGGTCAATTGAATAAATTGTGGCTGGGTTAATGCAAAATGCTAAGCTATACCCCCCCCCCCCATTTTATTGCCACAACCGATGAGTTCCCATATTATATCAACTTGAATCCAAAAAAAAACCACATTTAGGGCAGTGCGTGACCTCATCACACTGAGACTTTCTTTAAAACAGGTGCCCATCCAGTCCTCTCTCTGTGTGCCAACAGGGCTACAATAAGAGCATTTCCAACGCAGAGGTCGTGATCCGCTTTGCTTTTCAAGCCTCCATCACCGTGCTGTGTATCGCCTGCCCTTGTTCCTTGGGGCTGGCAACTCCAACGGCTGTGATGGTGGGAACTGGCGTAGGAGCACAGAATGGCATCTTGATCAAAGGCGGAGAACCACTGGAGATGGCGCACAAGGTGAGACAAGGGAGGGTCCTGTTTGGTCGAGGGGCAAAGGCAAAAAGATCCCGCATCTTATCCTGTGTCCGAGAACGCTTTGAAACCGTTTGCTGTCGTTTACAACTCTAAAGTACGGTGGGCATATGGGTGTTTTGCAGGTTAAAGTTGTGATGTTTGATAAAACAGGAACCATCACCCATGGAACTCCCATGGTGGTGCAGATGAAGATGCTAGTGGAGAGCAACCGGATTCCCCGTAAGAAAGTCTTGGCGCTGGTGGGGACAGCGGAGAGCCACAGTGAGCACCCTTTAGGAGCAGCAATCACCAAGTACTGCAAACAGGTAGAAGAGCAAATCGCAGAACATCGAATCATAGGGCTGGAAGGGAACTCGGAGGTCTTCTAGTCTAACCTCCTGCTCAAGGCAGGAGACCTGATACCATCTCGGTAAAATGGTTGCCCAGTCTGTTTTGGGAAACCTCCAGTGATGGAACACTCAACTCTGGGAGTCAAGTATTCTATTGATTAACTCTTCTCACTGTCAGAACATTTCTCACTAGTTCTAGGTTGGATCTCTCTGTAATGATCTTCCACCCATTCCCTCTTGCCCTGCCCTCTGGTCCTTTGGAGAATAGGTCACCCCATCCTTCTCTGTCAGAAGCCCCTCAAGTACCGGAAGGAAGACAGTTATCATGTCCCACCGAATTCTTCTCTTTGATAGGCTAGAGATACCTACCTAGGTCCTCCACCATTTGTCACAAGGTTTAGCCTTCGGATCCTTTATCGCCTTTATTGCTCTTCTCTCACACTTTTTAGGGTCTCGGTGTCTTTTTTTATATCATTGTGACCAGAACTGTGTGCAATATTCAAGTGTAGCCTCACCAGTGCATTATAAAGTGGCATTGCCACTTCTCATGATTTGATGCAATCCCTGTGTTGGTGCAGCCCAGGATTGCATTGTCTTTTGGGGCAGTTGCAGAACATTGCTGGCTCATACTGAAAGGCTGGTCCACCAGGGCTCCTAGATCTATCTCACAGTTGCTCCTATTGAGCCAGGCACCACCTATTTTGTACCTGTGCATTTGGACCTTGCTTTTCTCCGCTATTGCGACCATGATGTGTTTTCTGCACACCTCAGCTAGCTGATTAGCAAAGAGTTCAATCATTTCCTCTGGGTGGCCTGTAGTGCACACCTATAGCAAAGTCATTCCTTTTTCCTTTTAATATTTACCCAAATACTTTGAAAAAAAAGGCTTTCACTCTTAGTGTTGTGTATTTCTGTGGTAGGGTAGCAATTTCTTCCATGTAATGTAACCTCCCTACCATCTCTTGTTGGGTCTGTTTCTTTTGAACAATTCATTATTTATTTTACATGGCTGCCCAACTCACTTTCAGTGACATGGATATAGCTCAACAAAGATAAAAGCCCAATATAAAAAACCAGTAAAAAGCAATACTTCCCCCCCCCCCGCCCCAAATTACCTGGCAACAATAATTGGTCAATCAAACAAACCCGCTTGATGAGCCCCATCCCGCTCTGGGTTCCTGAAGCCCTTTGGCAAAATCGGGACTTCAAAGAGGGTCCAAGTGGGGAGCAGCCTGATCTCTGCAGGGATGAAGATCGTGGCCCCATCAGAGCCCAGTTTGGAAGAGGAGGAGGAGGAGGAGGAGTTGGAAGTGGCAGCGTCTGACGAGATCCCCGTCTCCCTTGGCCTGTGTGGAGAGGCCAGGGGCTGAGGAGGATGCTCTCCCAGGCCCCTCAGGATTGGGGGAGGGGGTCGACCGGACAGGGAGCTGCCTGCCCCTCACAGTCCCAGGGGAGGATCGGTGGCTGACCGGCAGTGGTGCCCGATGGGCAGCGGATCCCCTCTGAGGAGGAACCGCTGCCTCCCCCGCTCGACAGAAGGGCTGCAAGGCTTCCAGGAAGGAGGTCGCCCCCCCTCCTCACAAGGCACACCTGGAGTGGAGGGACTTAAGGAAAAGCCTGAGGTGGTGGTGGGGCAGTTAGTCAGGCACAAGTGTTAGTTTTGGCTTACGCTGATAGTCCTTTGGCGCTGATTTCAGGCTCTTCGCTGTATCATTTTTCCCAACATGGAAGGTGAGGAAGGGATAATAATCGATGGGCTTGATTATTTTATTGAGCTTCTCTGACGTATCTTTGATCTTTACACCTGAGAGTCAACCCTTGATGTAGGTTGCCCGGTCTACAAATGGCTGGTTCTGTTCCTCTGAGAAGCGAGTCACCCATCAGCCCCCTTTTTTTTTCTCTTTGTGACAGTCTGAGCCACTTTTCTTCCAAGGCAGGATGTGAAATTGTTCAACTCCAGTGGTCCCCAACCTTTGCTGTTTGGCGGCCCAGCTGGGGGTGGGGCGGTGACAGAGAGGAGAGCTGGGCTGCACGAGCAACAGGCTGGCGTGCACATGTGCAAGTGCCTGCCAGCCTGCACTCACACACAAGTTGAGCTGTGCACGCTCCAGCCAGCCGCTTGCATGCACCAATTCAGCCTGGGGTTGGGGACCCCTTCTCTAAACCTTCCGCTATCTCCTTTAGCAACCCAATGAGTTTGCATTTGGTGCAGATCTTTTGTGATGTTAGAAATTCTCTTCACCAACATACCCTGGTGAACTGTTTCCATCACCTCTTGCTGGAATAGCACTTCTGTGCTCCTAAACAGATGGATGCTGAGATCTAGTACATTGTGGATAACTGCTAAGATAAGTCAGAGTGAATAATAGTTCACCGTTACACAGAAACTTTGCCTGTCTAGGAGAATTGCAGATTTGAACTCTTTCCTCTCTTCTTCCATTGAGGTGGGGTAAATGAATTCAGATCCTATTCAGGAGTGTGATGACTGGCAGATCTTGAGTCATTCTCCCATTTTCTTATTCTTAGCCTAACTCACTCCTCAGGAGTGATAAGAGCATGCAGGACGTAAAATGAGATTACAATGTGCTACCTTTGCTCCTTGGAAAAAAGATGAGTTCAAATATAAGTAAAGCACAGGCAGAATATACAACAGCTGGACTTGGCTAGTGAAGTATTCAGATACGTTGGGCATATACTTCAAAATTGCCTGCAGATGACCGAGGTCTTCGTTCCTCACATCCTCCAGATTTGGGAAAGCTTCTTATTGCTTCAAACACCCCTATATTTTATTCCCACGTCTTATATTGGAGTCGTGGTAGTGCAATGGTTGGAATGCAGTATTGCAAGCTAATTCTGCCGGCAGTTCAAGTCTCACCAGCTCAAGGTTGACTCAGTCTTCCATACTTCCCAGTCCATAAAATGAGGAGGGCACAGATTGTTGGGGGCAATAGGCTGACTCTGTAAACCGCTTAGAGAGGCCTGTAAAGCCGTATGAGGTGGTATATAAGTCTAAGGTCTGTTGCTAATGCTGTTGGAATCTGGATTTGGAACTCTTGTTCCAGATGATGGTCCTGTTTTTGCCCAGGTGACTTTGTTGTGTGGTCCTTTCGTTTCTCTAGGAATTGGACTCAGATACCCTTGGGGCATGCACGGATTTCCAGGTGGTGCCCGGCTGTGGTATTAGCTGTAAAGTTACCAATATTGAAGCCTTACTCCGTAGCAAGAGTGAAACTGTGGAAGAGACCAATGTCAGGAACGCTGCTCTCCTGAGCATGGATGAGAAGGCTGACCCACTCATGCAGCCAGCTTTGATCATCAATGAGCAGGTGCCAGGTGAGTGCACGTGGGACAGGTGTGTCTTGTAAATGGAAGCTTGTGTTCCTGGCAGGGGGTTTGGCTTCTGGAGAGAGGAGGGGGCCCAAAACCCAACAAGTTCCATTCTCTGGATTGGCATGTTATTGTGCCTTGTAAGACAACTGTGTGGTAATACTTCCTCATTCAGTCTCCGTTAATTCACAGCTAAATACAACCATGTGAATAAAATGCTCCTTGGTTGCCCCAACAGGAAGATGCCTAGTGGGTAGGGATATCCATTGCTACAGAGAGATTCTGCTTTCCAATTGGCACAAGTTACATTATGGTGTCCATTAAATAGCCTGCTTTATGTCATCGGAGGACAAGAGTTTGTAAAGGAAGCCTGGGATCCTCTTTTTGGGGATGGTGTTGACAGTCCTTTTTGAAGACCCAGAAAGCAAAGGACAGTTGGGCAGGATGATCTTGTAGCTTTCCCTGGGCTTTATTGGCCCACCTGGGATGTTCTGAGAATGGAATCTGGTCTAGATGCATTTGCTTTGGGCTTCAAAGAAGCCACCATTTCCCAATTCACATGCAGGGGAAAGTAAGGTGTGTTCAGCCCTGTGGCAAAGCGGAGAAATGCACAATCCCCAGCCCCCAGGGCTCTTTTGTTTGAATTTTAAATGATGATCCAAGCTATTGTCTTCCTTACCACCTTCCTGAGACTCCTTTATTCTGTGACCATTGAAGCAAATGCAATTGACTTTGCACAATAAGTTGTTCAAGAGCTCCCAGGGGCTTTCATTTCTGCAGATGGAAGGGACAGCTGATTTTTCCGGAATACATGGAAACAGAATTAAGCATAAGATGACATGACTTACAGCTTAAAACACTCCAACTAGGGTCTCACGTTGATTTTTATTTTTGTTCACTGGCTCTAAGCATATTTATGGGCAATCATGTAATCAGGTCTCATTCATCCCTTAGCTAGAAGTGAATAAAGATTCTTGCAAACTTGCCATTCGTGAGCAGTGCCATTTATTATTAAATAAATCTCCGTAGGAGTTTGGGAGCATCTTTTCCAACTAACAAATATTATTTAAAAAGCAGAAGCTTTTGTGTGCTGCCGCTTCCTTGGTTAGAGGGAATGGCTAGACTGATGTACAGTTGAAATTAGGATGAGATAGGCAGCAGAAAGGGAGAAAATGGTTCGATTATGAAGATTCAGGACGCATGTGAGACAGATTGCCTGGTCCCTTATCAATTAATTGCCAATGGGCTCCTAATAACAAGGCCACACACACACACACACCCCACTTTCGGCCTCCACATAAGGAGGGGACTCCCCGAGGCTAAGCTCCAGGTTTCTCCTGCCGCTTCCAAGCAGAGAAGGATCCCTCCCTGGGTGGTGGTGCTGAGCCCAGAAAAGCTGGAGCTCTGACCTGCACAGACAGGCTGGTTATTAGGAGCCCGTCTTCCTCAGCACTCTTTGGGTCTGTGCATTTGGTCTCCCCCCCTTTCCCCCGCCCCATGCCAAAGGA